TCTATGATTACAATATCCTTTTCCTATCCCTTTCCACCTGTTGAAATCCTACGCATTCTCTAAGGTCCATTCAATCAATTTTCATTTATTAAATATGTACTACATAAATGTGCCAGACACTGGGAAAGATAAAAAGAGGCCCTTCCCTTAAGTAGCTCACATTCTAATGGAGGAGACACAAATGAAGATAACTAGGTACAAATAAGATATGTACAGAGTACATTTCAGTGGGAAAGGCATTAGTAGCTGGGAGGCCTGGGAGAGGACTCCTACAGAAAGCAGGATTGGAAAGGAGTCTTCAAGGAAGCCAGGGGAACCTAAGCAAGCAGCAGGAAGGGAGAGCGTTCCAAAAACGGGACAGACAGCACAACAGTGCAGAGGCAGGAAATGAGGTGTTGTGTGCAAGGAACAAGTAGGCCAGTGGGGCTGGATTGTAGAGTTTGTGAAGGGAAATAAAGTACTTAAAGTACAGGAAATGGCCAGGTTGTGAAGGGCATTAAATGCCAAAGAGAGGACTTTTTTTTATTTGATCCTCAAGTAACAGGGAGCCCCTGGAGTTCATTGAATAGGGGGTTTCATGGTCAGAGGTACATTTGGGATTGGAGGTTTATTTGGGCAGCTAGGTGGCCAGGGGATAGAGTTCCAGCCTTGGAGTGAGGAGGACTTGAGTTCAAATCCTGCCTCAGACACTTGACACTTACTAGCTGTTTGACCCTGGGCAAGTCACTTCACCTGATTGCCTCACCAAAAAGCAAAAAAAAAAAAGGCATATTACAAGCAGGAAGATCAGTTAAGAGACTATTGCAGTTGTTCAGACAAAGGTGACAAGGGCCTGAACTTGGTGGTGGTTGTGTGAGTGGAGAGAAGAGGACATATATGAGGAATGTTGTGAAGGTAGAAACAAGGTAAGGCAACAGATTGGATATGTAGGTGAGTGAGAATGAGGATTTAAATACTAGTTGCAAGCCTGAGTAAATGGGAGGGTGGTGCTGCCCTCAACAGAAAAAAAGAAATGAAGAAAAAAGTAAAAATAAATAAAATTTTAAATGATAAGCCCCCAGGATTGGAGGATCCTAGGTTTCCTAAGGAAGGGCAAATAGCTCAGGTTGGAAATGGAGCTAATCAGGGTAGGATCTAGCCTGTGAATAATCCCCTTACTTTCATTAGGGAGACCCAGTCTTTAAAAAAAATCTTTTTCAACAGTGTTAGAAATGAACAGTTTTGATCACAAAATTAAAGTTTTTGCACAAATAAAACCAGTACGGCAAAATTAAGAGAAGCAGAAAAATGAGGGGAAAAAATCTTTGTACCAGGTTTCTCTGATAAAGTGTTATTTCTAAGATATATAGAAAATTTATTCACATATATAAGAATAATAGCCAGTCTTCAATTGGTAATCAAAGAATATGAACAGGCAGTTTTCAGAGGAAGAAATCCAAGCTCTCAACAGCCAAATGAAAAAAGTGTTCTAAATCATTAATACTTTTTAAAAAATATATATTTATTTAGCTGTGTGACCCTGGGCAAGTCACTTAACCCCAGTTGCCTCACAAAAAAGAAATGTATGTATATTTTATATGTTTATATGTATTTTTAATTTTCAACATTCACTTTTATAAGATTTTGAGTTTTAAATTTTCTCCCCCCTCCTTCCCCTCCCCCTTCCCCAAGATGGCATGCAATCTGATATAGGCTATACATGTACAATCATATTTAACATATTTCCACATTAGTCATGTTGTAAAGAAGAATTAGAAGCAAAGGGGAAAACCACAAGAAAGAAAGAAACAAAAAAAGAAAATAGTATGTTTCAATCTGCATTCAGACTCCATAGTTCTTTCTTTGGATGTGGATAAGCATTTTCCATCATGAGTCCTGCAGTTGTCTTAGATCATTTTATTGCTGAGAAGAGCTAAGTCTATCAAAGTTGGTCATCGACTATAAATCATTAATAATTACAGAAATGTACATCACCTAGAATCTATCACATTGACAAAGCTGACAAAAAAGGAAAATGACAGATGTTTTGAGGGCTGTGGTGAAACATGTACATGATATATTGTAGGTGAAAATATGAACTGGGTCAGCCATTCTGGAAAACAGTTTGGAACCGTGCCCCAAAAGCTATTAAACTGTACATACCTTTTAACCCAGAAATGCCACTACTAAGTCTATAAACTCCAAAAAGATAGTAACTAGCATCTATATAGTACGTTAAGGTTGCAGAGTACTTTATGAATATCTCATCTGATCCTTGCAACAATCCTGGGAGATAGGTGCTATTTTTATCCCCATTTTACAAATAGGGAAACTGAGAACAAGAGAGGCTAAGTGACTTGCCCAGAATTACACAGCTAGGGAATTTGAATTGAGGTCTTCCTGACCGTTATCCACTGTACTACCTTACTGTTTTTGATCAAAGAGGAAAAGTGCCCGTATATACAAAAATCTTTAGAGCTCCTCTTTTTGTGGTGGTAAAGGATTGGAAACTAAGGGGGTGCCCATCAATTAGGGAACACATTATGGCATATAAATGTGATAGAAGATTTTGTGCTGGGGGTAGCTGGGTGGCACAGTGGATAGAGCTCCAGCCTTAGAGTTAGTGGGACCTGAGTTCAAATCCAGCCTCAGACACTTGACACTTACTAGCTGTGTTACTCTGGGCAAGTCACTTAACCCCGATTGCCTCACCAAAAAAAAAAAAAGCCAAAAAATAAAAAGAATACTATTGTGCTACAAGAAATAATGAAGGAGATGGTTTCAGAGAAACCTAGATTAGAAAGACTTGTATGAATTTGATCTCCTCCACTAGAACTTAAGCTCAATAAAGTTAGGGATAGAAGTATGACTTATCTTCCATGTAGGAGGCACTGTTGAATACATGAATGAACTGCAGAAACATTTTTTGTGATCAAAACAAAATTCCATGGAATGTTTTAAACCAAGTAAAATTCGTATTATATGTATTTGCCCAGATCACACAAGTCACAACCTTTCTCAGCTTCTGTTTCTTTTCAGGCTCCTTTCAACTTGAAATCAGTGATCCTTTGGTATGATTGTTTCTTGCTTATTGGAACATAGTTAAAGATCAACTTTTGAAAAGGTGAAAATGATAGGCATTTTGCTTTGTTTTTTAAACTATTTAGGTAAACAAATTTCATGGAATTTTGTTCTTATGTTCAGCCCTGTTCTTTCTGTTATCACTCTCCCTCACCCTCACAAGATGCATAGAATCCTGTTTCAAAGTCAAAGTCTAATCTACAGGAAATAGGAGTCAAAAATTATAGCCCCTACCTACTCTAGGGAAATTCCAAACAAACCTCCTGTGAGTCTTGGAACTCACTCGTTAGGAAAAGGGAAGGCCTAGGGAAGAAAAGTTCAAGATCATTTACAATTCAATCATTGTAACTGCTCAAGACAGTTCTTTCTGCTGCTAAAAGGTCAAATTGAGGATAGATAAACAGGAATTCTCCTTAGCATGTGAGATTTATAAGTGCATTTCTCTCAGGAAGGAAACTGAGTAACTTATTTTTCTCTATCTCTGGGGACACTGGTATTTTTCCCATCCCAATTTCTAGCATGAATTGAAATGAACATTGAACAGTGTTCTGGATGTAAAATTGAAAAAACTGTTAGCTACATATAATAATTCACATTCACATAATGTTTTAAAGTTCCAAAATGCTTCCTCATAACAGTCCTTTGAAGTACATAGTTCAAATATTATTTCCATTTTGCAGATGAAGAAGCTGATGTCTGGAGAAGTGAAAGGACATATTCAAGGTCACATGACTGGTTAGTGGCAGAGCTAGGACTTGAACCCAGGTCTCTTGACTCCTAGTCTGTTGCTTTTCCCATTACACCCCAGTGTCTGTTCTGAACGATCCCAGACAAGTTTTGAGGTCAGAGTTATTCAGTTGCTTGAGTAGGATGTTAATAAATTGCCACTGAAATATAGACGTAGGTATCCTATGGGTATTTGAGAAAATAATAGTCCTTCCCAGAGTACTATCTGCTAGAATAGAAATGGAATGTTTATATTTATGAAATTTAGTAGATACTTTAGCTTTTTGTCAGGGAACATGTCCACCTTCTAACAAATCAACTCAATAGATATTTGTTAAGTACCTGCTAAGTGCAGGGCCCCATGCTACAAATACTCCTATAGGAGCTAGAAAACCTCTTTGTCCAGCAGATCTCTCTTCCATGTACTGATACTTCTTTCTGATCACATCTTGCTATTTAAATTTGGAACTTTCCCATCTTCTTGGTTGTGTTCCCTCACCCTCCCTTCCTCTATTTCTTTTTGAAACCCCCTCATTGCTTTGGATGGACTCTGTGATATTGAAGAAGTCATAAAAATTCTTTGATTCATTTTTCTTGGTTTTGAAATACAAGTATGAGCCGTGCACTGTACCACAGCTGTCTCATAGAGTAGTGAGTTGAATATTCCTTAAAATCTACTGAAGTAACTTGGGCATGTTGGCCATGGCAACAACTCAGTGTAGTTAATTCCCCAGATCCCTTGTCAGGTGTAATTTTCACTTGGAAATATGTCAATATCTCTACGTGTTTTACCTGTGCAGTAGGCCACTGGAGAGTAGAGTATCACCAGACGCCGTTGGAGAAGTCTAATGCGACCAGACCTACAAAAGTTGGTCAATTCTGGCAAGTCTTGATTTACCCAACCTGCCATCACCCAAAACCTCTCTAAGATGGATGATCCTCTTTCGTTCTTATCCTGGGGTTATTTCAAGATTTTAAATTGATCAGAACCTAGCTGCAAGCTGCCACTTCTACCATTAGCTTAAATAGAAGTTTTCCAGGAACACTAAGAATCTCCAGGACTCAGAAAAGGCCCTTGGATAGAGTTTCATTTTCAGACTCTAGACATGTCATGCTTCCCTTTGGCTTTCGTAATTATTGTTTCACTTTGGAAGCTATTTTTTTTCCTCATGACTTTGAGAGGGATCTGAGCTTTGCTCTGTTTTCTTTTTCAGGATTCCCATCATGGTGCTCAAGGTCTTCTTCCCTTCTTGCTGTTGCTCAGCAGACAGTGGCCTTTTGATCGGCCGGTGGATCCCCGAGCAGAACTCTGCAGTTATCTTAGCTGTCGTCCACTTCCCTTTCATCCCTTTCCAAGTAAAGCAGTATCTCTCTGAAGTACAGAAGGTCAGCCAAGTGGAAATTGTCGTGCTGGGCACTTGGTGTAACAACAAGCAGGAGAAGGAAGAGAGCCTGGGCAAATTCTTAGATGACCTGGGCACCATTTTTTCTCATGAGCCTTGGCTACAGCTTAGCAAAGAGAAAGGAAGTAAGTTCTGGACCTGCCATACCCTTTCCAGACAAGCTGGCACCCCTCAAGAAGATCAGATCATTTTGATCTATTATGACCAGCGCAAAGCCATGCTGTCCCAATTGCATCCCCCCGAGATGTCTCTGGATAACCAGCCAGGGGTCATCCCTGCTCCTGATGCTTCAAAACTTGCAGCTGTGTTTGACACAGTGGCCAGAAGCGAGGTGCTGTTCCTGACAGACAGGTACGACGATGGGCCCCTCAAACTGAGCCACTGGCAGTCGGAGGGTGTGGAGGCCAGCATCATTGTGGAACTGGCAAAGCAGGCATCCGTGCCCGTGTGTATGCTGCTGACACTCTTGCTTTCCCTTGTCTCTGGACTTTGTAGGAGCAGGTAGGTAACTCTAATTGTTTCTCTTTTATCATCCTTGAACTAGGTTTGTGAGGTACCAGAATACGGTAAATGAATAGGTGTTGGTCAAAATATATGATAAGACTCCAGCACATGTCTTATGATGCTAATGTTAAGATAGGTCTTCTATATGAAGAAGAAAGGGCATATGCCAGAGAGGCAGATGATAACACAAGACTTGGCTCATGGTGGAGTTATATCATGTAGTTCTGTGGTAATGGGGCAGCCATGGAGTGACACTGGGTGGTAGTGAAAAGAGCCCTAGCTGTAGAAGACTAGAGCTTAAGTCCCAGAGCTGCAGGGTGCTCACTGTCTCTTTGACCATGGACATCTTCCTTTTAGTTTCCTCCTCTGTAAAATAGGGACAATAATATTTGTACTAACTACTTCACAAGGTTATGGTGAAGATCATATTAAATAATATGTGCGTGTTCTGTGCATAGTAGGTGCTTAATAAATGCTTCTTCATTCATATAAGAATAAATTTTCAGCAGGCACAGTTGCTTATGATCATAATCGTGGAATGTAGAGGATGAGAGGTCATGTACTCTACTGCCAAAAGCAAGTGGAGAAGGGGATCTAGATGGAAGTTGCCACACTGGCTACATGGCATTGCAATAAACAGGAGAAGGGGAAGAACCTTCACTAAACTCTTCATTTTACAAATGGGGAAACTGAAGCACAGAGTCATTAAGTGATTTGCCAAGTTCAGGAAGCTAGCAGGAGCAGGGCCAAGACTAGACCCAAAGTCTTCTGAGCCCTAGGCTCGTGCTCTTATCACTTCCAGAGCTTAGGCCTAACTTGTTTCCAGAGCGCAAGCATACTGGGTCATATCAAATGATGGTTTTAAGTTTAATACAATGTAGATATTTTGGGGGTGTTCCCTAAACTTGTCTATTTTTTGTATAGTAAAAATGTCTTCTGTACTTTACTATAGTCTAAGGCCACACTGGGATTCTGGACTATAAAACTGATAATGTGGTATAATAGGTAATCTGGAAGCACAGGATTTCCTGGACGTGTATGCATGTGTGTATATATACTCGTATGTACCGATGTGTGTCTGTGCACTCACACAAACCAGGATGACTAAGGAGTGAGGTATTATTTCACATATGCCTGGCAGTGAATGACTGATCATCTTTGTAAGTAAAGTGGTATTGAGTACTTACAGAATTAGGCATTGAAAGTGTATTCAACATGGCTCTTTCTCTAGGAGCTTCTAATTTAAGATGGCTTAAAGTATGCGCCAAATACAGTGACTACATCAACAAATGCATACTGCTTGGCATTAATACATGTTGATCACTTCAGTGAGCCAGGCCTCTTAGGAAGAATCTTAAGGGAAAAGTACTAAGGAGAACTTACTCTCTTACTATTTCCCGTTTAGAAACTGGAGTTTGATTTTCTTGCTGTTAGAGGTGAATTTGATTTTTGTTTGTGTGGTCAACACCCATTCGAGAATATGTTTTCTCAGAACATGCTCCTTTCTTTTATAGGGAAAATCCTTTTTCATCATTCAACACACAGTTTTTTAAGCACATGTCACGTGTACTGTGACTTAGTACTTAGATCTCTTAGGGTAGATATAGGGATAATTAATGCACAGCCTTTGCCCTCAAGGAGCTTGCAATAGTGTGTGGGGAGGAGGGAGGATAAGGTGTGTATACATACATACACATATATTTATATATATGCATATGTTAGATATACACATACATCTATATACCTATATAAGTGTGTGTGTGTGTGTGTGTGTGTGTATGTGTGTAAATGCAAATGAAAATAATAGCAGGCACATCAGAGGATTTTAAAGTACTCTAGTACTCTGAAATCAGATGGAAAGATATCTTCTGGTTGAGAAGCTCAGAAAAGGTTTCCTGGAGGATACAGCATTTAAGTTGGGCCTTCAAGGATGGGTAGGATGTCAGCAGGCAGATTTGGAGAAGGCATTTCAGGAATAGGGTATCAGGCCCAAAGGTCAGAGATAAGGAGGTGAAGCATATGTCTGGGAGATAGTGATTATGATGCTTTGACTGGAGTGTAGAGTATACAAAGGGGAGTAGCATGAAAAGTCTAGAAAGGTAAGTTGGAGCCAGACTGTGGCAGAAGGACAACAGATAATTCTGTCCTTCTTTTACCTTTCTTCTGCTAACCTCTTCTCATTGTCTTGTTGTACCCAAAGTAGGATTTCCCAAGCAATCAAAAGGAATCATTTTAACATTGCATACTGGAAAGGCAGCAAGAAATGGTGAGAATAAAACTGGAGACGAAAATTCAGGATGAATGCTCACGCACACATATACATATACATATACACACACACACCCCACACACACATATATACACACATACACACATGTGTGTGTGTATGTGTGTATATATATATAGATATATATAGATTTTAAATACCCTCCTGATAAATGAGAACTATCACCTTAGGGGAAGAACTTTCCCTAGGGAAGTTACAGAAGCAGCTTTCGTTAGAACATTTTAATCAACAGGGAGTCAAAAGGTCTAGGAAGACATACTACAGATAATTTCCCACACAAAAAAAGTCCTTGGGTATAGGACTGAATAAATTTTAGAGTCATTTCCATCTCTCTGGTGCTATAAAGTACTCCTAATTACAACTGACATAAATGCACCTGGCACCACCTGGTGGAAAACCATTGTAATTGCAGAATATTTCCAACAATCAAGTTCCTTTGGGGCTTATGTAACCTAAAGGAGATAGGTTAAATTATATGATTTAATATGACTTTTATCCAACTGAAAAGAATCTTTCTAACCAGCCTGTATGCCAACATGCTGCCTTGAGCCAGTATCAGGCCAGCAGAGAGTGCAGAAGATGATTGGTAAGAGTTTTCTTCAACTGGATATGTGATTTCACTGGTATAGGGAACTCCCAGGGAGGTCACACCCTCTACCAATGCAGATCATTACCATCTCTGAAATATTTAGTCTTGGAGAGTTGCCTGGGCCACTGAAAGGTTACATGACTTGAGTAGGGTTGTACAGCCAGTATGCGTTGGAGCAGGGTCTTGAACTCGGATCTTTCTGACTCAAGGCCAGCTTTCTCTCCATGTTGCCACATTGCTCCTTCCCCCTCCCCCAAATTGGATTAAACTCTGAATTCCTTTGAGTAATTGTTTATCTCAGGAAGCTTTTCAGCATTCCACAATTTGATGCCATCAGCACAGCATAATCCACAAATAAGTGGCAAAGCACCCTAGGTGGCACAGTAGATGGAGGCCTGGAATCAGGAAACCTGGTTTCAAATCCAGCCTTAGTAACTGTATGACACTGGGCAAGGCCCTTAACCTCTGTATCAGTTTTCCCAACTGTAAAATGGGGATTAATAGTAGCACCCACCTCCCAGGGTTGTTGTGAGGATCAAATGAGATAGTATTTGTGAAGGACTTAACACAGTGCCTGGCACGTAGGAAGCCCCTAGTAAATGCTTGTTTCCTTCCTACCTTGGGGAATAGGGGAGGTGGGGAGACGGGAGGCATCATCTGCCAGGCAAGTCAAACCACCACCACCTTGACACCATCTCCCCACAAGTCCTGAGACAGCCTGGAAGCCTAAACCCAAGAGTCTTGAGTGCCCCTGAAACCACTAGGCCTGCTTCCAGCCCCCATACCCATTACTGAGCACAGAAGTCGTTGTAGAGAGGGGGCCTTCCACCTCCAACTATCACCACCAGCAACAACTACTGACCAGTTGCCACCAATAGGCGGATAAGTACAAGAACCCTGGGAGTGACAGCACCCCCCAGACTGCCAGTCTGACTGCAGCCAGAATCTAGGGAAACTCCTTCTGTGGAGATGGGCCAGCCGTCCCAACAGCTGCTGCCACCCACAGGGTGGGCATTCCAGCCTAACTGAAGCAGCATGGCACCTTGGGGAGAGACAAGAGGTGCCAGGCAAGTCAAACCACCACCCCCTCTTCCCCCAGACCCTGCTGGAAGCAGCCCAAGCCATGCTTTCAGTCCAGTGGCCTCCAACGCAGCCTAGAAACTGCTCCTGCAGTGGCTGCAGCTACAGCTACTGAAGACCCAGAAAAGAAAGCTTGGCACCAGCAGATGGTTCGACATCAGAAACTGACATAACTTTATCTATGGAAATGACTTTAAAGAAGAAGCATTGCCTTCTGCTTTGCCACTATACCCTAAGGACCCTGGGACCTTTTTAACTGACTGAAGCTAAAACCTTCCACGTGTGTTGTCTCCCCTATAGACTGTGAGCTCCTTGAGAGTAGGGACTGTCTTTTCTATTTGTACCATCAGTCAATGCTAAGCACAGTGTTTTCCACATAGTACTCAGTAAATGTTTTTTTGCTTTTTTTTGTTTTATAATTCATTCATTCACCTGCACTGGACAGCCTCAATGACAGTGGCAAGTACCTTTGGGGAATATAAACATTTATTAAGTACCTATCACCTTCTAGGCACTCTGCTAAGCTCTGGAGATACAAATAAGAAAAAAGAGACAGTCTCTGCCCTCAAGGAGCTTACAGTCTAAAGGAGGGAACAACCCGAAAAGGGAAGCTGATCCAAGAGAGGGGTGTGTTGTTCCATGGAGTGGAAGCCATAGAGATGCTGATAGAGAGTGCTTTCCTTGACATTTGTAGTCAGTAGCTGGCCAACAAAGTAATTTCCATTGTTTTAACTTTCAAAATTTCATGTATGATTTTAATGTATTCATGGAAGACAGCTTGCAGGAAAAGAGCCTTGTGAAGTATTTTGCACTGCTAGACCAAATGTTTCATTATGGTCATCAAACAGTAAGCACAGAGGGGTGGTGTGTTCTTACCTGTAGTCATGTGACTGTAAGGATGTGCTCTGTCATAGAATATTATTTGTGAAAGCCTACCTGTTCCTTTCCTGGTAAGAGTTACTTTGGTTTTTTTCAGAATGCTGAAATTCTACCAGGACTACGCGGCTGGTTCAATATTAGGAAAACTATCAGCATAATTGACCATATCAACAATAAAACTAACAGAAATGATATGATTATCAGAATGCTGAAATTCAGGAATCATCATTTATTTTTCATCTATCAATTCCTGACCCCCAAAGAACTCATAGTCTAAATGGAGTACAAGACATTGTTACATTAAAACCTTTATATGGTATACGTAATGTGTAACTGCAAGTTATTGCTTTGCGCTGAGCAAATGTTCCGCGATCATTCAAATATTCAGTGATCACGAAAATAACACCTGCCTAGTCAATGTGTACCTTTTTGATTTCACAATTTTCTATTTGCTGATTTATTTGGTAAGTTAAATTTTTAACACCTGAGGAGAAGCAGTTTTCTTTTGGTTTGATGTACATTGAGTTAGTCCATTGGTAAATGTTGAATGTTAGTTAATTTTAACCATGTACTTGTTAATTATAACATGCCATACCAAGAATGCAGTCAGATTAATTTTCTATTTCTTATGGAGTCCATTTCATTTAATTATCTATCCCTCATATGTAATAATAATAATACCTTTTATAGAGCTCTCACATACATTATCCAACCTCATTTTAGCTTCATAGTAAACCTGTGAGAGAGCAGGAATTATTACCATTGTATAGATGAGGAAACCAAGGCTCAGAGAGGCAGAGTGACTTATCCTTGTGGCAGACATTTAAACTAAACCAAAATCTTCTGGTCCTGAGTCCAAGAGCAGTCTCTGCTCACTAGTGCTCTACAGCACCTGAATCCTAGGGGTAGGGGATTCCAGTCTGTGCAGTTCACATTTTCATACAGATTTTTCTTGGAAATGATTCAGAGCAGCTAGTATAATACGGAAACCTTTCAAATTTACCCAGGGTTCAGACCTCTGGATGCTTTTGAGGAGCTCATGGGCCCATGATAGAGCAGTTCTCACTCCCCTACCTTCTAAAAGGCAAAAATTCAGGCAAAATGGAATCTTTTTACACTGTTAGTACTGACATGCAACATTCTGTCCTTTTTCTAGTGGCAGAAATGTATTGTTCTATGTTATTTCTGCAGAATATTTAAGTTTTGGCCTTTGTCCTTCATATGGAGCAAACTCTCAACTTGTGAGCAGGTTGGATATCGACTAGAACATCTCAAATTCGTCTTTAGCAACCAGAAAGCTGAGAACCAAAACCAGCTGATGAGGTACAGTATGCTCACCCTCTTGTTTTCCGTCTGGCATCTTGAGGCATAACCCTTCCCTAGGGCAGTTTGGGGTTTTCACAATAGCAAACCTTAAAGAAGACTACTTGGCATAGAGTTCTGATCTTCTGTTATCTCTCCAGCTGCCCCTCGCTATCACTCTCTAACTTTAGGAATTAATAAACAGTACAAATAGCCTACTTTTGTCCTGATAAGTAATTCCCATCTAAACACCTTTCAAGGGTCCTTCAAGAGGGTGGTGCAGTGGGAAAGAGTGCTAACCTTGGGGGACTAAAGCCCTGCGTTTGAATACTGCCCTGTTCCTTAATGCCTGTGCAGACCCTGGGCAGATTTCTCTGCCTAATAATTTGCGCCCTGCCTAGCTCACAGGCTCATAATGAGGCTACAGCAGAAGGATGGATATAAAAGTGTTCTGTAATGTAAACTCCTATACATATATAAGTTGTTATTGTTATTGAGACAAACTCCTCTGTGTATTTTAATTGCTAGTTTAGACCATCCTAAGACCAAGTTCTACCTTTCATAGAATTTTGCACTGAGATAATCTATCCAACCCCTAATTTTGCAGATGAAGGAACTGAATCCCAGAGGGATGGAAGTGATTTACCCAAGGTAGTAAGGAACAGAGCCAGGATTTGAACTTAGGTCTTCCCACTCTAAATAAGTACTTCTCCACTTTATCTCATTTCCTTACTTTTCTACCTTTCTACCACTGTCACAGGAAAGCCAACATCTTTGTTTCCCTCCTTCTTGACGTGGCTCTGGGGATCATGCTGCTATCCTGGTTATACAGGAAGAATCGGATTGGTCAGCTGGCTGACGCTCTCATCCCAGTTGCAGATGTGAGTTAAGTTGAAATTCCAGCCCTGAAGTCCTATGACTGAGTGAGGAGTAGGTTCATCTTCCTTCCTCCCTTTAAAGGGAAAAGCCCTTTCTACTTAAATTTCTTTGCATTCTTTCAGAGTAGCTAGAACAATGCTTTGCATGTTCAGAAAGATCTGTTGGCCCATTGATTTTCCCCAAAGCTCTGCCGGTGTCATTGAATACTTAGTTATGGGGGGGGGGCAGAGTATGGAGAGGGTAGCAGTACCCTTACTACAGCCTGCGTCCTTTGTTCTGGCCTGATGAAACTCAAAAGTCCAGAATGCCATTACTTCTACTACTAAAATGTAAAGTAATTATAGAAACACAAGCAGATTTCATAATAAAACAGCTGATCTTTTAAAATCTTCAATGTATTCAATAGTTAACACCAACTTCCTCTGTTCAAGGCAACTAAAAAAGGCTCAGAAAATAAGTTTTTTACAGCTAAAGAAATTCATCTATACAGTCATGTGACTTATGTGAGAAAACATAGTAGTGGTAGAACTTGAAATGGAGCCAAGAAGGAATAAAATATTTTACTCTCATTCCTAATTCTAAACCCATTTTGTGCCATTTTGCCTGTCTTTAAAGACCATATTCTGGTCTTAAAACCAGATTTTTTTTTGCCACTTATTGGAGATAGCCAATTTAGAAATATTCTAACTGGAGGATAATTTTGTCATATAGTAATTTGTTGAATGAAACAAAATTAACATTCTCTTTCATATGATCAGATGTAGCTACCTCCTTCTGTTACTAACCCAGTATTAATATTTCTGATTTCTGAAAGAACAAGTAAACTCCCTGCCCTGGTGTGATTCTCTTATAATAACCTTAGAAGCAGCAGGGTTTTGGCTACAACCCATTATATAAGCACAATGAAAAAAATCCTCCATCTGCCTAGTACCATGGGCAGATGGACACACAGTATTCAAAGGGCATTGGACCATGACACCTGCTTTTGGATCTGCTGTTTATAAATACAAATCATTTTATGTTCCATCTCTTCCATTTTCTTTTTCAGGGTATCCACTGCTTTGTTAAAAACTTCTACTTTCTGCTCTAAACCATTGATTCTTTTTTCAAATTCTTTAAGAGCTATAATTTTGCTCATTATGTCTTCCTTCAATTTTAAAAAATTAAATGTTTTAGCTACATTATTCTAGTCTCTTTAAAATGTTTTTATTATGAACTCAGTCATTAACAAAACTATTTCAACATACAAAAAAGAGAATAGTATAAGAAATTGTTCTGTGCAGCTTGTTTTTTTAAGTTGGCTGTCAGATTTTTAAAAGTAGTGATGATTGGGGCAGCTAGGTGGCGCAGTGGATACAGCACCGGCCCTGAAGTCAGGAGGACCTGAGTTCAAATGTGGCCTCAGACCAAACACTAGACACTTACTAGCTGTGTGACCCTGGGCAAGTCACTTAACCCCAATTGCCTCCTCCCTCCCCCCCAAAAAAAAGTAGTGATGATTACCATTTATCCCCCCTTCTGAATTTCGTATGTGTGTGTGTATTTTTAAATGTTTTATCAGTGCTCTTTGTTTTAAAAGTTTTTTGCATCTCTGGAAATATCTATTAACTCATACTTCTCTGAACAGAAGTCCACCATTATAACAAATATGTATAATTAAACACAGCACATTAATGCATTGCTCATGTTTGAAAATGTACCTTTAGTCTAATGACCTCTAGTCTGTGACTTCTCTGCCAAGAAATAGAAGGCATGCTGTATCATCAGTCCTTTAAAGTCATGTCTGGACTAAAGGTCATTGTTTTGATTAGAGCTCTGAAGTTTTTCAGAGTTGTTGTCCTTTACAATATTGTGTAATATTGTGGTCATCATGTAAATCACTTTTCTAAATCTGCTCATTTCACTTGGCATCAGTTCTTATAAGTCTTCTCAAATTTCTCTGAATCTATCATATTTTTCTTTTTTTTCTTTTTTTTTCTTTTTTAGGCAGTTGGGGTTAAGTGACTTGCCCAGGGTCACACAGCCAGTTAGTGTCAAGTGTTTGGTCTGAGGCTGGATTTGAACTCAGGTCCTCCTGATTTCAGGGCCAGTGCTCTATCCACTGCGCCACCTAGCGGCCCGCTATATGTTTTTCTTATAATACAATAATATTCTCTTCCATTCCTTTGTCACATTTTGTCCAGCTGCTCCTCAGTGGATGGGTAGCTACTTTGTTTCCATTTCTTTGCTACAACAAAACATGCTGCCACAAATACTTTTGTAGATATTGATCCTTTCCCTTTATCTTTGGCATCCTTGGGGTATATGCCTAGAAGTGCTTTCACTGGGTCACAGGGTAGGTACAGTTTAATGACTTTTGGGACGTAGTTACAAATTGCTTTCTGGAAAGATTGGACCACTTTATATCTCCCCCAACAGTGTATTAGCATGAGAGTTCCACCAACAATTGCCTTTTTCCTCTTTTGTCATCTTATCCAATATGATGGAGTAGAGCCTCAGAGTTGCTTTAATTTCCATTTCTCTCATTGTTAGTGAATTGAAGTATTTTTTTATTTGTTTGCTAATAGGAAAATGATTTCTTCATTAAGAACTATCTTATTGATTGAGGAATGTGTACTCTTGTTTTTTATGCTTGTATCAATTCCAAATATATATTGGATATCATACCTTTATAAGGGAAATCTGCTGCAAAGATTTTTTTTCCCAAAGTAACTTTCCCTTCCAGTTCTAAATACATTGATTTTTCTTGTGCAAAAACTTTTGAATTTTATGTAACCAAAATTGTCCATTTTGTCTTATATGATGGCTATTATCCCTTATTTTATTATCCCCTAGCCAGAGTAATAAAAAAGTATCTATTTCCCTTCTCCACCAACTTCTTTATGATATGGCTTTTTTATATTTAGGATATATACCTGTTTGGAGTTTATTATGTTATGTGGTGTAAGATGTTGGTCTAACTTCTGCCAAAGTGCTTTCAAATTTTTCCAGAAGTTTCTGTCAAATAGGGAGTCCTTGCTCTGTTAGTTGGTGTCTGAATTTATTGAACATCTGCTACTATGTTCAGTTGTATCTGGGTCTTATTTATCTCATCTGTTCAAGTGATGAATTTTTCTGTTTTTTTTAACCAGTACCAAATTGCTTTTTATGATTATTCCTTTATAGTAGTTAAAGATCTGGTCCTGTTAGGGCACCTTTATTCCTACTCTTTTTTTTTTTAATTTCCCTTAAGATTATTGTTCCTGTAAATTAATTTTATTATCCTTTCACTTAGTTCTCAAAAAAACCTTAGCAATCCCTTAGAAGTTCCCTAGTAATTTGATCGATATGACATTAAATCTATAAATTAACTTATGTAGTATCATCATTCTTGTTATATTGTCATGGCCCAACCATGAAAAATCAATATTCCTCTAATTATTTAAGTCTTCTTTTATATAGTCTCTCTTTTCTGGGATTCTTGGTCATAGTTGTTACGTTATTATTCTTTCTGGAGATTTCTGCTTGCGTTCTTTTACCCCATATTGTTGAAAGAGTTTTTAGTTTACTCATTTCTTTAGTCTGTCTTTCGGTTTTCCTTATGAGAATTTCTTTCCTTTCTCCTGTTTTTTGTTTTCCTCTTACTTTATTTGGTACATCTCTACCACAGAGTGTGGATGCATAAACCTGTTCTCTGAAGCTTTGCCTGAGTCATCTCACAATTTCTGGGGATTCTATTGCCCTCTCCTTAAGGGGAAGTAGAAGATCCCTGCCTTATTTTGTCAGAATGCAGTGAGTCATACAGATGATGTAGTTCGGGACAGGTAGGTGGTGCAGTGGGTAGAGCCCCGGCCCTGAAGTCAGGAGGACCTGAGTTCAAATGTGGCCTCAGAGCAAACACTCGATACTTACTAGCTGTGTGACCCTGGGCAAGTCACTTAACCCCAATTGCCTGACAAACAAACAAACAAACAACAGATGTATGTAGTTAGTGATCTGTGGCAGAGATGACAAAATTGCAAGAGTGTTGACATATTGATTCGCAGGTTATTTGAAGTGACATGGAAATGTCAAAGATGGGGGAGGACAAAGTGGTGACTGAGAGAACATCCATAACTAACAACCTATATGCCTACTCTCCCATCTATACAAAATTTTTACAAGAACGATCTGCACATACATATACTGAAGGCAAGGTAAGGAACAGGGTAAGGTTTTTTTTTTTCCTTCTTGGTGAGGCAGTCAGGGTTAAGTGACTTGCCCAGGGTCACACAGCTAGTAAGTGTCAAGTGTCTGAGGCCGGATTTGAACTCGGGTCCACCTGCCTCCAAGTATGGAGCTCTATCCATTGAGCCACCTAGCTGCCCTGAGGGTAGGTTTTTAAAAGTGGTGTTCTACAATTCACCACATCTTTACCATCATACAGTTGACTGAAGGAAAGTAGAGAATGTAAAATCCCACCACTGCTATTGGTTGTTTCTTTCATAAGGCATTTGAATGCAAAAAGCCATGTTAAATGCTCTCTTCTAATAAGGTGTGCGTCATGCCTCCATACCTTAAAGTCATTCAGGGTTCTTTGAAAGCTATAACAGTAAGAGCCTTGTTCAGTGACTCTCTGATCACAGATACCACATGAGGTTTAAAACGGGGAGATGCAGTCTGGCCAAAGGTGTTCCCTGCTCTCGTGGAGGAGATTCAGCGTAGAGTTCACATTGAAGAGGAATTTTCTATGGATAGTGGGGTCCTTCAGAGGTTTCTATTTGCAGATGACATCGTGCTGGTGGTATAGAGTCCTAGAATGCTGAAAAATCTCCTGGAAGACATATGTAACCCCTCAAAAGAGTCTGCCTGAACATCTACAGAAGAAGGGCCAAGTAGATAAGGACGGTGTCTGCTGGTCAGTCTGGAGCTTGTCCTTCAGTGTGTGTATCTGGGACAGATAGCACAAATGGACAATGACTTGGGCCCAGAATTAAACAGGAGGAAGTGAATTGCTTTCAGAATATTGCATAGCTCCTTTTAA